AAACAATTTGAGAGATTTCAGCCCCACCTCGTATGACAAACCCCACCATTCTAGTAACCCTTCTCTGATCCCTTTCCAACAATTAAATGTCTTTCCAAAGGTAAGGAGCCCAAGACTGAACACAATATTCCAAATGTGGTCTAACCAGTGACCTGTACAATGAAATTATAACCTCTTTAGATTTGTATTCAATATTTCTGTAGATACAATCTCAAATTGTACTTGCCCTACCATTAACAACAGTACACTGCTTACATTTATTATAATTAAAACCCATCTGCCATATATTTGACCAACTCACTAAATCCTTTTGTAAATCAGCAGCATCCTCTTAACATATAGTAACACCCAATATTTTAATGTCAACTACAAATTTAAGTAATGTATTGACCATTCCTTCATCTATGTCATTTAGAAGTAGATGGAAATATTTATCTGATAGTGCAGAGAAAACTTTTGGAAAGGACACAGGAGGATAACATTTATCATGAAAGTGTTCATGGGTATTGTAGCATGTTACAGTCTTATCTGGGGAGTGTAATAGAGTACAGTCATTGAAATTTCTAAGACAATTTTAATAGGGTCGGAGAATTAAATACAATTTTTTACACTAATTTTTAAATGAAACAAATCCTCTTCTTGGACTTTAATCATTTTGAAGGCATTAAAATATTTCCTTATTTTAAGTACATTATTTCATGTTTCAGTGGTGACAATAACTTCATTACTAAATATATTCTACTGTCATAAAACTGGTAAAATTACATTTATCTTACTGTATATATTTTTCCTCCTGTCATAACTTTGTTTTTGATTTTTTTTTTAATGAATGAAAGGGCCTACACTGTGACTTTGCTTGCTTGATGTTTAGTCATCTTGTCAGAAAACCACCCAAAGAACGAGTGATGGGGATTATTCAAGAAGCTGTGAAGATTGAACAAGAGTTCCTAACAGATGCTCTGCCAGTTGCTTTAATTGGCATGAATTGTCAGTTGATGAGACAATACATAGAATTTGTTGCCGATCGACTATTATTGGAACTAGGCTGTGATAAGGTGAAACTGTAAACTTTTCATGTACCATAATGTGTAATAACGGAATCTCCAAGTTTAATATTTGACATTTTATTTATAAGATGACCATTTAAAAAGTGGTTGATAACCTTAGATAATGAAACTAAAACCTATTAATTTTTCAATACTCTTACAGTAGTAGTTTTTATCTGTTTAACATGTAAATTATTTATATTGGTTTGTTTTATTTTTCTCAGATCTATAATGTGGAAAATCCTTTTGATTTTATGGAACACATATCTTTGGAAGGCAAGACAAACTTTTTTGAAAAGAAGGTGGGCGAGTATCAGAAATGTGGGGTCATGGCGAGACGTGAAGAACACAAGTTTACATTAGATGCTGACTTTTAAGTTCAGTAAAGCTTGTTTTATGGTAATTTAAACCCAAAAATGAAGCTTTGTTTCCCTCAGATGATTTAATGTTTTAAACTGTATACTCTAGTTTTTTTTTATTTATATACATATAATATTTTAATTGAGTGTATTATTGTACATAGATTTTCTTATGTATGTTTGTCAAAGTGATTAACACTTGTCATCAAAGAAAAACTTGTACGTGAACAAGTTTCATTTAACACATTCAGTGCCTTCTCGGAGATCGATACCCATGCCATGTGCCATTAGTTTTTGTTTTAATCAGAAGCACTTTAATAAAGCAAAATAATAATATTTGGATAGAATATTTATGGGCATATATGCTTAACCAACTAAAATCTGTATCATAATGCACGTGACCAACATCTATTTTTTTATATCTTGTCATGGTTTTTGGGTATGTTTTGAATTTGTAATAAGGTTAAATTATAGCCATTTGAAGGAGCACTATTATATAATATATATATATAAAAAACAATTTGCAACCAACCAAAAGATCTAAGAGAGAAAACCCTCAGGTGAGTGCCGTCACACCAGAATCGATTTTTAATGCATGCTGACTCCAATAAAATGCAAATTTGCCTCATTGTTTTAGTTTGTTTGTTTTTGAATTTCACACAAAGCTACACAAGGGCTATCTGTGCTAGCCATCCCTAATTTAGTAGTATGAGACTAGAGGGAAGGCAGCTAGTCATCACCACACACCACCAACTCTTGGGCTACATTATAAAGCCCCCATAGCTGAAAAGGCGAGCATGTTTGGTGTGATGGGGATTTGAACCCGTGACCCTCAGATTGCAAGTCGAGCGCCATAACCACCTGGGCATGCCGGACCTTTGTTTTAGTTGATATACATATGTGTCAGTGGCACTGGATAACATACTTTGGACTCACATGTGCATCCAGAGGTAGTGAATATGTTGTCTGATATTACTCTGTCTCAATGTTGATTATCAAGCAGACAACAAATTTTGTTCTTGTGTTTCAACATAGAAAAAATGCAATTTCACTAAGAATTCACAAAAAATCCATGTAAAAGGATTTGTGTCAGATCTTACCTGAAAACTTGTAGTACTAACCTGTATGACAGACAGTTGTTATAATAACATCCTATAAGATTACACTCAAGAAAATATTTATATCTCAATTCCATTACAAACAGATTAATAATCTAAAACTTTATACTAGCAATCTAATACTTAACCTTTCAGAATCACAAAGCTGTTGAAGTGATTTATCATTTTTGAAGTATCCTCATTTATGTCAGTCGGTGACTCCTGAGGGCACATCAGACTGTAAGGGAGTGTCTCAGATTTCTGATAACGGTTCAAATGAAAATGTTTTTTCTTTTAAATATCATATTCTTTAAAGAAAATAACATATTGCTTTGATTCAGACTTGAATTTCCCATTTAATAAGAATATTAGGATTTTATAATATCTTGTAATAAATTTGTTTAGACGAGTATAATTACACTTATTTAAACCAGTAAATGATAAACGAATTTCATTGTGTTGATTTGTATTTATTTGCTTAATATTTTTTGGAGGAATTTTTTCTTCGGTATCTATTGATATTTTTCCGATTGTTAATTTGGTGAAAGGTCTTGAAATTCTTTAGATAATACCACAAAAGAAATGTACTTTTAATTTAATTGTAAAACTGATATTTTAAAAGGTAAATAATTTTCTTATAAACTCTTAACTACATAATATTCCAGTACATATGACACCTAAACCTGTGAAGATTAAAATATGGTTTAAATAATGAAATCATCAGTAAGTTATTCAACAGAATCATTGATGACAGATGAAAATGACAAACTTGAACTACCCTTGGCATTCTGAAATAGTATGTCAATAAGATCTCATTTATATAAATAATGACGTGGTTATGATTGACACCAACCATTATAGTTATATTTTATAATATCTATTTGTGAAACTCATCTTACAACTTAGAAATTTAAAGTTTGTCTCAAATATAGGTAAGATATATTTAAATGTTACTAACATTTACATTTTCCTGATGTCACACTCAACGGGATTTAGCTGTCATTGGGATGGCTTGTTGTGCATCATTATTATTATAATAACACGTGTGATGTAACATTTTGTTGTTGATGATGACAATAATTTTGATTCAATTTCAAGAATTGCCAAATCATTTAATCTGTCCTCTGACGTTTTTGATCTTAAACAATTCTTAACCTGCCAAAGGAATGAAAAAGAACGTTCTGTAGTACAATTTGTGGCTGGTATGTTTATGTACATTGTCAGTGGAATGTCTGTATTTGGATATAGAACATCGAGCCCATCCTTATAGTCAAATCTAGTACTGGCATTTTTTCTTTCAGTAGTAGGTGTGTATGAAAATGCAAGCATTCATCAACCAAATTATTTTCAATGTCTTTCAAATAGCATGTTCTCTTATTTCTGCTGGACTTAATTCAGTCATTTTAATAAGCACAGCAAATTTATCATTTAGTACTTTGTATGCAATTGTTGTTTTTTAATTAGCTAATTATTTATATTGTGCTCCACTCAAACTTTTTCTTCCTTCATTCATTGTTTTAAAATAAATAAGAAGGATAAATAATTGTCAAAGAAAAATAATTTTGTGAAAATGCTTTGACTTCTGTAGTATTACATGCTGGACGAACCAATACATCGATCAGGTTATTTTGCACACGGTACGACTTAGGTGTATGAGATTGTGCCGGTACAGAAACGAACTCGCACAACACTATTGTAATTAATATAAGTAATTGTGACACATTATTGATTTTGTTACCATATGCTCATATATTTTATAGGGTGTAATTGAAAAAAAAATGTGTACAGACATTTTTTTATATTTGATGTTTTGCCATCTTCAAAATTTGCCTTTCTAGACCCATGCCTATAGTATATGGCTTATTTGGAATTCCGACACTGAACATGGGTGTACTTTGAAACATGAAGTCCTTATTGACAATACAGTGTTTTCTTAACAAAACTGGTTAACTCATTTGGTTGCTTGGGTTAAAGAGAAACGACTGCAAAACAAAGCATCAGTAAGATATCAACCAATGTCTAATTATGTGAACATACTTGTATATATAAATATAACTATAGATCTAACTAATTTTGTTTAACCCTTAGTATACTTTGAACAATCACTAGTGACAAAATGTCAATACGATACTCCATAGGAGAACCAATTTTATATAACCTGTGTTGAAGTGAGATAACCTTTGTCATTGGGGTTTAAGATGAGATATATTGTTGTAAAGAGCTGAGGATGAAATTAATTATTCAACTCAGGAGTCATCAGTCATATTTGAATAGCCCAAATAAAGTGTTAAGATCCACAGGATTTGACTCGTAATTCAAAGTTAAACTGACTCAAGTTACATTACAGTGAAAATTTGACAAGATGAAACACGGTATTATATACCAATAATAATAATAACGCAGTTATTCTCAAGACACGGGAATACCCGACTTACCAGTGATAAAGATCACTGTTAAGTCACAGCAATCTTTCCCACGAAAAAGTACATGTGACACCCTTGGTGAATATCCCATATCAAAAACAAAATACTGAGTATGTATAGAAATTTTGAAGAATTTCATATATCAAATAACAGGATAGAAACATGTAGTATGTTAGCATACCACACTGAAACAACTGTATTGTATACATAAGTGTTTTGACAGACTTTCCTTAAAAAATTAACACAATAAAGGTTTATTTATTTTTAATAAATGGGAAACATTACTAGAGACTATAAAACTTTAATGTACACACCATTCAAGCCCACTTACAACCAGTCTTGGGTAATAAAGTTTGAATGGGTAGTAAAAGAAACTATTGCAAATGTATAACATTTTCAACAAGCTCATGTAGCTTAGTTAAAGGAACACATAAGTTTGATAGGTTAATTGGGTTAAGCATGCTGTTCAAAACAATATAAGATTGGTAGGGAAGGTGTTGGAACAGGTAGAAGGTGAATTTTGATATAAAAATAGTCAAAATAATTTATTTTATTCACAGTATGTTCAGTTTATTTTTTACTGCCTCAGGTAAGTATACTCCTTTAAAAAGCATACCTGATAAAGACTGTTCTTTGAAATATGATCTTTACTGTTAATGTTATATATTCCTATAAAGTTAACAAGCATGAAATACTCAAATGAAGTAAATTAACTTTTATATTTACATGTGATAATAATCGCTGAAGTTCCTTACAAATTACTTAATTTATTACCATTGCTTAACTACACTTTTGTATTTGTACACTGAAAAGTAGGCTTAAAAACACATTTTATCTTGGGTGTCTTCCAAATTTGTAATTACATTCTTATTTTAAGAGGTTATCTGTCCTGAGTGCCAAGTAAAAATATTACTTCTGTGATTATAAATCAATTGTGATTGGTGAACAATCTCACTCTTGTATTGAAATAATGCCCTGTTGAAAACCTTAGCAAATGGCTTGTAAAAAGGTATATCAATCTGATAACATATACTGGATTATAGTCATTTAAATTTCAGGCATTCATTAGCATTAATAGTTTGTTCCATTTGTCTATGATTCTTTTAATAAAAATTTACTTTCTCATATTCAATTTGCAGTACTGTTTAACTCAAAACATTTCTCCAAATATGTGTTCATGCACTGTCACACTTCTCAGTTACTTTGGTAACATTTAGTTGACCATAATAAGGGTTTTTTTTTAATAGAACTTTCCGAGGACAAGTTTTACATTTTCCAAACTTATCTTTATTGATAAAAGCACTTCAATGTTATAAAATAAAAGGAATATATTAGGCTAATCCCAGATACATCATAAGTTTGAGTATTTGTCCCAGTGAGTATCAGAAATAGATTTTAGTCATGATACAACATGTATTTTATGTACTCAAGTGACTGCTTCTAAAAATAAAATATCCTTTATATAAATCAAGTGGAATTATATATAATAGTTAAGATAAACTTATTACTTCAGTACTATATTATAAAATAGGTTTATCAAATAAAGGGTTAACACTGGAAACATTTTGCCTAATAACCAGCCTGGACTCGTGCTTCTACTTATTTCCTTTTAGTATTTAAGATTCCATCCCCAGTATTATCCATAAGTCAACAAAGTTCTTTGGGTAATATATATATATCCAGTCCTCCAAGAACTGTAAACACCTGAACCAGATCACCTGTAGTCATTCTGTGCTCCAGATTACAAGATTAATTATTCAGTCTCTCTTCATAACTTAAATACTTCAAACTATAAATTAGTTGGGTAGGCCATCTTTGAAATTATTCAAGCAAAGCCATGTGTTTTATATAATAAGGGGAGAGAAGTGAACACAATAATACTCTATATTAGCTTTACCGAAATGTTTATACAATATGATGATTACCTCCATACTCTTCAACTCAAAACTATTTTGTCTCTTCCAGCATGCCCCACCCCAAGCTGTATGTCTGTGGACTTATACCACTAGGAACTATGTTTCAGTACCCATGGTGGGCAGAGCACAGATAGCCCTTTGTGTTGCTTAATAACAAACAACACCTCTTCCAAACAATCAGTTGAAGGCCTGACAATTGTATCAATCATCACACTCAAACCAATCTCATTCCAACACTAATATT